TCTAATCATAGTCGGTTACTTTCTGAACTACTTGGCATCTAAGCATGGATATAAAGTCATCAGGTAGATCTCAATGGTAATGTTTCTCACAGCTACTAATTATTAAGGAGCAAATTTTATGCTTTGGAAGAATTTTTTTTTAATTTATTTATATACCCACTTCCCAGGTAGCACCCTCCATAGCCTCCCTCCCCCCACTAAAGCCCTTATACTCTGATATCTCTGCTACTGTGTTGTCAGCAGCCCTTCTCTCTAGATGGCTTTTTGAAATGACTGATACCAAAAATTGTAAAATCATGAAGTAAAGTAAGATGATGAGGAACATTTTGAAAAACTGGATTACTTTGGTGACCATTTAAGTTTTCCCTTGATCATCTGTCTCTTCCACAGGTATTCCAGTTGTCCATTATATTGGCCACATTATACTGGTTGGAACAGGCATTCTGGACTTGTAAAACATGCACATCAGAGAATGGGAAATAAATACAACCAAAATGCAAGGACCTTTTACATCAGTGAAATTTCTTGAAGTTTAGTGCTATGGGGAATGAAGAGCTATTCTTCCTAAGGTGAAGAATAAGTTGTTCCACCAGCCTCTCTGACCACCAAGAAAAAAGGTAATGTTTAGCAAGCTTATTTGGATTCTGAATGAAGCATATTCTTCATCTGAGTGAATTAATTTTAATCTCCAGCTTAGTCACAATAGGCAATTTTTGACCTATACTTCAGTTGTGATGAATAATCTTCATTCAGTAACTTTTCTGTTACCATAATAAAATACCATGACCAAGGCAACTTGTAAAATGAAGAGTTTATTTGGGTTTACAATTCCAGACAGGTAAAAGTCCATCATGTGGGGGAGACATGGCTGGAGGTAACAGGAGCAGAAAGCTGCAAGCTCACATCTTCAAGTACCCACAGGAAGCAGAGTAAGCTCAAAGTAGGGCAAGGCTATGAAGTCTCAAAGCGCATGCCCAGTGATGTGCCTCCTCCAGCTAGGCCATAGCTACTAAAAGTTCCTTCCCTAAATGGCACTACCAACTGTGACCAAGTGTTCAAATACTTGGAGCCTAAAGGGGACATTTCTCATTCAAACCACTGCAGTCATCACCTTTATTAGATCTGAAATCAACTAAAAGGCATAGGTCTCAGCTGGTGTGTGAGTATTTCCTGGAAAAATTAACTGAGTGGGAAAGACCCTCCTCCAGAGTGAGCTGCACCTGGCTATACAGGTACAAAGAGGTCTGAAGGACAAGCAGGCTGCTGTCGCCTGCCGGCCTTCACACCTTGCTGGTGAGTACTTCGACAACTCAAAGGAAGGTATCTCCTATCTGGCATTCTTATATAGCCTTTAGCTATGCATATGGACTCTTAAGAAATTATATTGGCCCCTTTAATCTTTGGTTATACTTTCCTTTTGGGTGTTTAAG